CCAATAGGAGCTTAAATTACTCCATTGTCACGTATTGTATTTCAATTTACCGATTGAGTAATTGTGCTATAGTATTATTTCAAATCACTCAAGGAAAAGACAAAGTTAACCTTAGATGACCTTCTCTGTTTTATACAAAAAAAGCCTGTCATATGTTTGACTTCCTTGATGTTTAGCTTATATGTTTAGCTTTCAAGAAATAAATGTATTCCGAACGAAAAAAAAAAGAGACATTCTTAACACAACAACAAGATCTGATTTGAACGTTCAAAAATCGTTTTACAGTCTTCACGTTACTTGTTTCTGAATCAAGTGAAGTATTATTACATAAAAGTTAAATATATTTTGGATGGAACTAGTACATGTTAACACTAGGCTGTAATAGAGTAGCATGTGAATTTCAGGACATATTACCACCAAAAACTAATTTAAGTTTTCAAAAAGGTTCAGAAATTAAGGTTAAAAAAATATTTGCAAATTATTTTTAGCTTTTGCGATTAATTGCGGTTTCGATAGTGACGACAAAGGCTTAATATTTATGTCCATTTGGGATGATTCTACATTTAATAAGTTCAAAAAACAATTATATGAAATATTTGACCAAGATCATTTTAAAATTTGTAAAAGAGATATTTCGAGAGATTAATCTGCTTCATTAGTTTAGATTTACTGATTGATTGTTGGTTGCTTAACGTCCAGTGGGTGACAAATATTTCATACATGTTCAGGACATTAGTTTTGAAATTCATCCTTTATCATTCGTTCAAACAAATGGATACTGAATTAGATTGTCTAGGCTTACAATGTGTGCACTTTGTATCAAACGTTTACAGACTCGTTTATAAATCAGCTTGCATATTTAAATAAGGATAGATGTGTTCCTCTAGCTACGTAACGTTGACGTTAAGGACTCAAGACATAAGATAACACAAAAACAATCGCCTTGTAAACTTATCATACCATCTAAACCGGCTGTGTTTTCACAAGCACACAAATGTATAAAGTATTCCTGTCTTTTCTTTTAGTCATCGTTGGTAAGTATCACTTTCTGTTAATCGAATGAAATACAGAACTCATTGTGTTCTTCCTATTTTGCAGATATGTCTACTTTTCAGTCTGTTTGAATTTGAACGGATGTTCAAAAGCAAAAACCTTTAAACAGACTGGAAAGTCAAAATGTCGGTTAAATTCGACATTGGTTTGTGTTCCATTTATTGTGAAAACTAAGTGTCGGAAAGCAGCAAAATCAAATTCAATAACAGAATATCAAATTCCAGATTTAAAATAGGTACCCAAAGAGATGCAAGAAGAAATGGACTAATTGAGAACTTTTTTCAATTAAAATGAACTCGCACAAAAAACGCTACAAGTATTGAGAAAGGATCATTCAAACATTGTATAAAGGTATTTGGGAAACAAACTGAAATCATTAATCAAAGATAAAAGCTGAATTCAAATGAATTAAAGACGAATATGAAAAACAAACAAGCTTGATCATGCCAAATGCGTAAAATTTATTTACTGATTTTAACATGCTAAAATTGTTTTACTGCCTTCTCGTAGCATGTTTGTGCAGAAAGTGACGTATTATAGCATAAAAGTTAAATTTGTTTGAAGTGCAATAAGTAGTACTACATGTTAACACTAGTCTAAATCTCATGACATATTATCTGCCAAAAATGATATTTTATGGAATATATTTAAAAAGGTCAACAAGCTGAATTAAAAAATACATTTACAATTTAATTTCAGCTTTTGCGATTGACTGCGGTTTCGATTGTTTACAACAAAAACTTGAGTATGTCCATTGAGGATGACTAGATTTTAATAAGTTCAAAATACTTGATCATGATAATTTTGTCAACGAGAAAGTTTGAGCCAATAACCTATTTAATTATATTTGAAATTCATTCCTTATAATTCGTTCAAACGAATGAATACTGAATTTAGCTGTATAGGCTTACATTGTGTCCCCTTTGTATCAAACGTATACGGGCTCATTTATAAATCAGCTTGAATATATTAACTAAGATAGATTTGTTCCTCTAGCTACACAACGTTGAAATTTAGTCAAGGGGTCAAGATATAAGATAAAACAGATACAGTCAGCTTTTAGACTTATCAAACTATCTTAACCGGTTGTGTTTTCACAAGCACACAAATGTATAAAGTATTCCTGTCTTTTCTTTTTGTCATCGTTGGTAAGTATCACTTTTTGTTAATCGAATGAATTACAGAACTCATTGTGTTCTTCCTATTTTGCGGATATTTCTACTTTTCAGTCTGTTTGAATTTGAACGGATGTTCAAAAGCAAAAACTTTTAAACAGACTGGAAAGTCAAAATGTCGGTTAAATTCGACATTGGTTTGTGTTCCATTTATTGTGAAAACTAAGTGTCGGAAAGCAGCAAAATCAAATTCAATAACAGAATATCAAATTCCAGATTTAAAATAGGTACCCCAAGAGATGCAAGAAGAAATGGACTAATTGAGAACTTATTTCAATTAAAATGACTTCCCACAAAAAACGCCACAAGTATTGAGAAAGGATCATTCAAATATTGTATAAAGGTATGTGGGAAACAAACTGAAATTATTAATCAAAGATAAAAGCTGAATTCAAATGAATTAAAGACGAATATGAAAACAAAACAAGCTTGATCATACCAAATGCGTAAACAATTTAATTTGACATAATTTAAACAAACAAATACATTGAGGTGTTCAATGATAGCAAGCAGAAAATTACTCAAGTCAACCATATGTGTGGTGCATTAACTGTCCCCTTAATATATTCTTTTCTTGACACGAGTAAAAGATTACAAACTACCAATGAGACAGGCATTACTTATTTAAACTTTAAGAATAGGTGAAAGATACCAAAGGGACGATCAAAATGCATTAAGTCGACAAGAAACCGACAACAGCATGACAAAATAGGCGAAAGACAACAAATTTGCACAGATTGTTAGTAGAAGGTCAATATACATTTCTTTTCCTTTCAATATTTGTGTATTCTCATAAATCATCAGCCTTGTATCTTTGTTTTTACAACCACTGATTCGATACCACTGCTGTTGGGTGTTACGTCCCTAGGTGTGTCGTCAGCCCAGTTATTAGCATTTCTGTGCTGACATGAAATATCATTGATGCGGTCACATTCTGTAATATGAATGTTAATAAGATTTTTCTACTCCATGCATAGATATACTATGATTTGGCAAAATCCTTTTGACTTTGGTTTTCAATGCTCTTTATATTTGTAATTGATGTGGCATCCAAACGGTTTTGATTCGAGAATCACTAAGTAGTCTAATCAACCACAAGTAACAAATGCAAATGTTTTGTCTAAAACAAATGCAAAATAATACAGAATTAAAAACCAATTGTTCAAAGAACAATTGAAGGTCTTTCCAAATCAATTTTCTAAAAAATTTATAGGAAGCTACTTCTGGTTTACTCAAAGTTATAAATAGCGTCAAAGTATAGATTTCTTCATACTGATACAATAAATAAATGGTTTTTATATACTTTTGCCTGAAATAAGGGAGATAACTGCCAACTTCCGGTTTAGAAAATGTCACTTCCGGTCTCATATGATAGCTTTATTCACACTGATTCCAAAAATATATGGTTTATATATACTATATGCCTGTAATAAGGGAGATAATATGCTACTTCCGGTTTATAAAATATCACTTCGTGTCTCAAATGATAGATTAATGTATGACCATTCAAAAAATATATGGTTTCTATGAACTTCTACATGAAATAAGTGCAAAAATGACTACTTCTGGTTCACTCAAGGTCACTTCCGGTTGACATTTTTCAAGGTCATATGTCACCCAACATTTTGCAAAAGATCTTATGGCTTTATCATGTACCAAGTTGGAGTAATAATCAATTAACCTTAAATTAAATCATTTCAGGGACAATAACTCATATAAGATATCATTGGATTATTTCAGACCAAATGTATCATATCTTAATCACAATTAAGCAAACATTTTGCACTAGTTCTTTAATTTGTAATTTTAAAGGTGACAGAGGAGATCAAATAACAAGGAAAAGTCAAAATTTAGAATATGATCTTGACCTTTGACCTTGGCCTCAATTTCATTTAAATGAACCAAGGAACTCAAATCAATATACCTTAGGTCTCTATCACTTACCATTCATGCTATACATTTATATATCCCTTATGTCAAATACAGAAGGGGAAATAACTCTCATATGGAGTTTACGTATCGCTTCGGTCAAATTGGACAAAACATCCTGAGGATATAACGAGCAATTTGGTAAAATTAATTTGTCGCTTTCTTTTACGGTTACGGAGGAGATGCGTGCACAAGGAAAACAGTGTTCGGGAAGATAACTCCTACAAAGAAAATTATTTGGTTTCGCAGGGTCAATTTCAAAGGCGCATAAACTGTTCGATATCATATACCAAATATCTAAGCAACATATTGCGAAACAAATATTTATCGCAAGAACAAAATTAGGCGGAAGAAAAAAAAAAAAAATTAAAAACCAATTGTTCAAAGAACAATTGAAGGTCTTTCCACATCAATTTTCTAAATAATTGATGAGAAGATAATTCTGGTTTACTCAAAGCTACTATTGGCGTCCAATCATAGGTTTCTTCATACTGATTTTATAAACATGGTTTCTATAGACTTTTGCCTGAAATAAGGGAGATAATTGTCAACATCCGGTTTAGAAAATGTCACTTCCGGTCTCATATGATAGCTTTATTTACACTGATTCCAAAAATATATGGTTTATATATACTTTTGCCTGTAAAAAGGGAGATCATTGGATACTTCCGGTTTAGAAAATGTCACTTCCGGTCTCATATGATAGCTTTATTTACACTGATTCCAAAAATATGTGGTTTATATATACTTTTGCCTGTAAAAAGGGAGATAATTGGCTACTTCCGGTTGAGAAAATGTCACTTTCGGTCTCATATGATAGCTTTATTTACACTGATTCAAAAATATATGGTTTATATATACTTTTGCCTGTAAAAAGGGAGATAATATGCTACTTCCGGTTTATAAAATATCACTTCCGGTCTTAAATGATAGATAAATGTATGACCATTCAAAAAATATATGGTTTCTATGTACTTCTACATGAAATAAGTGCAAAAATGACTACTTCCGGTTCACTCAAGGTCACTTCCGGTAGACATTTTTCAAGGTCATATGTCACCCAACATTTTGCAAAAGATCTTATGGCTTTATCATGTACCAATATGAAGTAATAATCAATTTACCTTAAAATAAAACATTTCAGGGGCAATAACTCCAAAAAGATGTCGCTGGATTGTCTCACACCAAATGTATCATATCTTCATCACAATATAACAAACATTTTGCACTTGTTCTTTAATATATAACATTAAAAATATCGAAGAAAATGCAAAAACAAGCAAAAGACAAAATTCAGAACATGACCTTGACCTTCGAGCTTGACCTCATTTTCGAGGTTAGGATCCAAGGACCTTAAATAAAAAGACTATAGGTTTATACGGCTTACAGTTTATGAGTAACAAAAACATACGACAAATTTATTTGATAAAGGTAGATAACTCCTATAAAATTTCATCGAATCGCTTCGATCCAAATTAGCCAAAAAATCCTGAGGATGTAACGAACAATTTGTAAAAAGAATTTTGTCGATATCTTTTTTTGTTACGAAGGAGATGCACACAGATGATAACCAGTGAATAGGGAGATAACTCTTACAAAGAAAATGGTTCGGCTTAGCAGGGTGAAATTTAAAAGCGCATAAACTATACGATACAATATGAGAAATATCTAAGCGACATATCGAGAAACAAACATTTATCGCAAGAACAAAATTTGGCGGAAGAAAAAAAAAAAAAAAAATAATAATAATAATTAGTAAAAACCAATTGTTCAAAGAACAATTGAAGGTCTTTCCACATCAATTTTCTAAATAATTATTAGGAAGCTACTTCTGGTTTACTCAAAGTTATTAATAGCGTCAAAGAATAGATTTCATCATAATAATTCAATAAATACATGGTTTCTATATACTTTTGCCTGAAATAAGGGAGATAATTGCCAACTTCCGGTTTAGAAAATGTCACTTCCGGTCTCATATGATAGCTTTATTCACACTGATTCCAAAAATATATAGTTTGTATATACTTATGCCTGTAATAAGGAAGATAATATGCTACTTCCGGTTTATAAAATGTCACTTCCGGTCTCAAAAAATAGGTTAACCTATGATAATTCAAAAAATGTATGGTTTCTAGGCACTTTTCCATGAAATAAGTGCAAAAAATACTACTTCCGGTTCACTCAAGGTCACTTCCGGTTGACATTTTTCAACGTCATATGTCAACCCACAGTTTGCAAAAGACCCTATGGCTTTATCATGTACCAAGTTGGAGTAATAATCAATTAACCTTAAATTGAATCATTTCAGGGACAATAACTCCTTTAAGATGTCATTGGATTGTTTCAGACTAAATGTATCATATCTTAATCACAATTAGGCAAACATTTTGCACTTGTTCTTTAATTTGTATCTTTAAAAGTGACAGAGGAGATCAAATAACAAGGAAAAGTCAAAATTTAGAATATGACATTGACCTTTGACCTTGGCCTTAATTTCATTTAAATGAACCAAGGAACCCAAATCAATATACCTTAGGTCTCTATCACTTACCATTCATGCGATACATTTATATATCCCTTATGTCAAATACAGAAGGGGAAATAACTCTCATATGAAGTTTACGTATCGCTTCGGTCAAAATTGGACAAAACATCCTGAAGATATAACGAGCAATTTAGTAAAATAAATTTGTCGCTTTCTTTTACGGTTACAGAGGAGATGCAGTCTCAAGGAAAACAGTGTTCGGGGAGATAACTCCTACAAAGAAAATTGTTCGGCTTAAAATGGGTGAAAATAAAAAGCGCATAAACTGTATGATATTATATAAGAAATATCTAAGCGACATCTTGCGAAATAAAAATTTTACGTGAGAACAAAATTAGGCGGAAGAAAAAAATAATAATAATAATAATAATTAAAAACCAATTGTTCAAAGAACAATTGAAGGTCTTTCCACATAAATTTTCTAAATAATTGATGAGAAGATAATTCTGGTTTAATCAAAGCTACTATTGGCGTCCAATCATAGGTTTCTTCATACTGATTCAATAAACATGGTTTCTATAGACTTTTGCCTGAAATAAGGGAGATAATTGTCAACATCCAGTTTAGAAAATGTCACCTCCGGTCTCATATGATAGCTTTATTTACACTGATTCCAAAAATATATGGTTTATATATACTTTTGCCTGTAAAAAGGGAGATAATTGGCTACTTCCGGTTTAGAAAATGTCACTTCCGGTCTCATATGATAGATTTATTTACACTGATTCCAAAAATATATCGTTTATATATACTTTTGCCTGTAAAAAGGGAGATAATTGGCTACTTCCGGTTTAGAAAATGTCACTTTCGGTCTCATATGATAGCTTTATTTACACTGATTCCAAAAATATATGGTTTATATATACTTTTGCCTGTAAAAAGGGAGATAATTGGCTACTTCCGGTTTAGAAAATGTCACTTCCGGTCTCATATGATAGATTTATTTACACTGATTCCAAAAATATATGGTTTTTATATACTTTTGCCTGTAAAAAGGGAGATAATATGCTACTTCCGGTTTATAAAATATCACTTCCGGTCTCAAATGATAGATTAATGTATGACCATTCAAAAAATATATGGTTTCTATGTACTTCTACATGAAATAAGTGCAAAAATGACTACTTCCGGTTCACTCAAGGTCACTTCCGGTTGACATTTTTCAAGGTCATATGTCACCCAACATTTTGCAAAAGATCTTATGGCTTTATCATGTACCAATATGAAGTAATAATCAATTTACCTTAAAATAAAACATTTCAGGGGCAATAACTCCAATAAGATGTCGCTGGATTGTCTCAGACCAAATTTATCATATCTTCATCACAATATAACAAACATTTTGCACTTGTTCTTTAATATATAACATTAAAAATATCGGAGAAAATGCAAAAACAAGCAAAAGACAAAATTCAGAACATGACCTTGACCTTTGACCTTGACCTCATTTTCGAAGTTGGGATCCAAGGACCTTAAATAAAAAGACTATAGGTTTATACGGCTTACAGTTTATGAGTAACAAAAACATAACGACAAATTTATTTGATAAAGGTAGATAACTCCTATAAAATTTCATGGAATCGCTTCGATCCAAATTAGCCAAAAATTCCTGAGGATGTAACGAACAATTTGTAAAAAGAATTTTGTCGATATCTTTTTTTGTTACGAAGGAGATGCACACAGATGATAAACAGTGAATAGGGAGATAACTCTTACAAAGAAAATGGTTCGGCTTAGCAGGGTGAAATTTAAAAGCGCATAAACTATACGATACAATATGAGAAATATCTAAGCGACATATTGCGAAACAAACATTTATCGCAAGAACAAAATTTGGCGGAAGAAAAAAAAATAAATAAAAATAATAATAATTAAAAACCAATTGTTCAAAGAACAATTGAAGGTCTTTCCACATCAATTTTCTAAATGATTGATGAGAAGATAATTCTGGTTTACTCAAAGCTACTATTGGCATCCAATCATAGGTTTCTTCATACTGATTCAATAAACATGGTTTCTATAGACTTTTGCCTGAAATAAGGGAGATAATTGTCAACATCCGGTTTAGAAAATGTCACTTCCGGTCTCATATGATAGCTTTATTTACACTGATTCCAAAAATATATGGTTTATATATACTTTTGCCGGTCTCAAAAAATAGGTTAACCTATGATAATTCAAAAAAATGTATGGTTTCTAGGCACTTTTCCATGAAATAAGTGCAAAAAATACTACTTCCGGTTCACTCAAGGTCACTTCCGGTTGACATTTTTCAACGTCATATGTCAACCCACAGTTTGCAAAAGACCCTATGGCTTTATCATGTACCAAGTTGGAGTAATAATCAATTAACCTTAAATTGAATCATTTCAGGAACAATAACTCCTTTAAGATGTCATTGGATTGTTTCAGACCAAATGTATCATATCTTAATCACAATTAGGCAAACATTTTGCACTTGTTCTTTAATTTGTATCTTTAAAAGTGACAGAGGAGATCAAATAACAAGGAAAAGTCAAAATTTAGAATATGACCTTGACCTTTGACCTTGGCCTCAATTTCATTTAAATGAACCAAGGAACCCAAATCAATATACTTTAGGTCTCTATCACTTACCATTCATGCGATACATTTATATATCCCTTATGTCAAATACAGAAGGGGAAATAACTCTCATATGAAGTTTACGTATCGCTTCGGTCAAAATTGGACAAAACATCCTGAAGATATAACGAGCAATTTAGTAAAATAAATTTGTCGCTTTCTTTTACGGTTACAGAGGAGATGCAGTCTCAAGGAAAACAGTGTTCGGGGAGATAACTCCTACAAAGAAAATTGTTCGGCTTAAAATGGGTGAAAATAAAAAGCGCATTAACTGTATGATATTATATAAGAAATATCTAAGCGACATCTTGCGAAATAAAAATTTTACGTGAGAACAAAATTAGGCGGAAGAAAAAAAAAATAATAATAATAATAATTAAAAACCAATTGTTCAAAGAACAATTGAAGGTCTTTCCACATAAATTTTCTAAATAATTGATGAGAAGATAATTCTGGTTTAATCAAAGCTACTATTGGCGTCCAATCATAGGTTTCTTCATACTGATTCAATAAACATGGTTTCTATAGACTTTTGCCTGAAATAAGGGAGATAATTGTCAACATCCAGTTTAGAAAATGTCACCTCCGGTCTCATATGATAGCTTTATTTACACTGATTCCAAAAATATATGGTTTATATATACTTTTGCCTGTAAAAAGGGAGATAATTGGCTACTTCCGGTTTAGAAAATGTCACTTCCGGTCTCATATGATAGATTTATTTACACTGATTCCAAAAATATATCGTTTATATATACTTTTGCCTGTAAAAAGGGAGATAATTGGCTACTTCCGGTTTAGAAAATGTCACTTTCGGTCTCATATGATAGCTTTATTTACACTGATTCCAAAAATATATGGTTTATATATACTTTTGCCTGTAAAAAGGGAGATAATTGGCTACTTCCGGTTTAGAAAATGTCACTTCCGGTCTCATATGATAGATTTATTTACACTGATTCCAAAAATATATGGTTTTTATATACTTTTGCCTGTAAAAAGGGAGATAATATGCTACTTCCGGTTTATAAAATATCACTTCCGGTCTCAAATGATAGATTAATGTATGACCATTCAAAAAATATATGGTTTCTATGTACTTCTACATGAAATAAGTGCAAAAATGACTACTTCCGGTTCACTCAAGGTCACTTCCGGTTGACATTTTTCAAGGTCATATGTCACCCAACATTTTGCAAAAGATCTTATGGCTTTATCATGTACCAATATGAAGTAATAATCAATTTACCTTAAAATAAAACATTTCAGGGGCAATAACTCCAATAAGATGTCGCTGGATTGTCTCAGACCAAATTTATCATATCTTCATCACAATATAACAAACATTTTGCACTTGTTCTTTAATATATAACATTAAAAATATCGGAGAAAATGCAAAAACAAGCAAAAGACAAAATTCAGAACATGACCTTGACCTTTGACCTTGACCTCATTTTCGAAGTTGGGATCCAAGGACCTTAAATAAAAAGACTATAGGTTTATACGGCTTACAGTTTATGAGTAACAAAAACATAACGACAAATTTATTTGATAAAGGTAGATAACTCCTATAAAATTTCATGGAATCGCTTCGATCCAAATTAGCCAAAAATTCCTGAGGATGTAACGAACAATTTGTAAAAAGAATTTTGTCGATATCTTTTTTTGTTACGAAGGAGATGCACACAGATGATAAACAGTGAATAGGGAGATAACTCTTACAAAGAAAATGGTTCGGCTTAGCAGGGTGAAATTTAAAAGCGCATAAACTATACGATACAATATGAGAAATATCTAAGCGACATATTGCGAAACAAACATTTATCGCAAGAACAAAATTTGGCGGAAGAAAAAAAAATAAATAAAAATAATAATAATTAAAAACCAATTGTTCAAAGAACAATTGAAGGTCTTTCCACATCAATTTTCTAAATGATTGATGAGAAGATAATTCTGGTTTACTCAAAGCTACTATTGGCATCCAATCATAGGTTTCTTCATACTGATTCAATAAACATGGTTTCTATAGACTTTTGCCTGAAATAAGGGAGATAATTGTCAACATCCGGTTTAGAAAATGTCACTTCCGGTCTCATATGATAGCTTTATTTACACTGATTCCAAAAATATATGGTTTATATATACTTTTGCCGGTCTCAAAAAATAGGTTAACCTATGATAATTCAAAAAAATGTATGGTTTCTAGGCACTTTTCCATGAAATAA